AAAAAAAAAAAAAAAAAAAAAAAAAGGGCTTACTGGTAAGAACTCCACTCAGGCTAGCTTGGGAGGTCCTGAGTGTAATGCCCAGTACTCAAAACAGGGAAGTGCTTATTCTACTGAGCCATCTCCCCAGCCCTCAGTACCCAAAACAAACAAAACAAAAAACCCAAAGATGGAAGCCCTCAAGCTCCACCTGCTGGCCCTGTCCCCTTGCATCCTCCTGCCACCCCCCACCCCTTCCACACCCCGGTGCTCCCACAAGCCACTCTTCATCTCCAGGGGCTTCCTGTCCACTTAACAAAGGACATTGCCAAACTCCTGGCTGTGCTGTGGAGCGGCCAGGCTACTGTACATGCTGACAGCGGCCAGTTCCCCAGCTCATCTTATAACTCGGGCTCCCCAACTCAGGTCACTGCTGCAAGGGCTGCTGGGCCTCCCTGCCTGCTCCCTGCCTGCCTCAAAGGTCCTAGAGTCTGTGTGCCCGCCAGGGTCTTGCCACAGCGCCTCAGGGAACTTCCGTGGCCACACCTTCCAGACTCTGGAGATGTCATTCCATTCCTCTTACCTACTGTGTGTGCGCGCTGTCTGCCTAGCCTGGCAGGAACGCCTCAAGAGCAGGACTGTGTGTTGTGACAGTGCCCCGCCCAGCATAGTAGGTGCTCAGTAAACCCAGATATTTTTTTGAATGCAGATCACTATCTCCCGGGTAGTTTTTAGGCATTTCAAACCTAAGCTGCTCCCAGACGACCTCCCTCCCTCCACCCCTTCCGCCCAGTCCTACTGGCTGGGCCAGAAGGTGCCCAGGGAGGAGAAACCCCCATTTCTCCTATGCTTTTCTATTACTCAGCCATCAGCCTTCTCACTTCTGCCTCTGCCCTGGGCTTTCTCAGCTTTCCCATCCTGGCTATCTGCCTGTCTCAGACCCCCAGCCAGCATGGCTTCCTGCACCTCACTGCCAGCCCTACTTCTGAGGGGCCCTCAGCCTGCCCTGCACCCTCAGCCCCAGAGCTTTCTCTTTCCTGGAGGAGAGACTGCTGGGGGCCATGCTGCCCCTCCATGTGAAGACTTGGGCTCTCTAAGAGTTACTTATGAGAGTTCCATGTCTGTCTGTGAGAAAAAGAGATTATATGTCCCTCAGCCAAATAATAAGGGAAAGGTAACTCCCAGCCTGCTAGGTGTCCAAGACACCAAATTTAAGTTCTCTAAAATTGAAGAATTCTATAATTTTGTTGTTTTTATTTATTTGTTTGTTTTGTTTTGCGGCACTGGGGATTGAACTCAAGACCTTGCGCTTGCCAGGACATTGCTTATTCTACTGAGCTATCTCCCTGGCCCTTTATAAATTTTTATCTTCCAATTTTTCCATTCTATAATGAAGAATTAATTCTAGAAACAATGGAGGTTAAGCATAGGAAGAATTGGGCCAGTGGAGCTGGCCAGATAGCTCAGCAGACTAAAGCACCTGCTTAGGCAGGTGCGGGGAAGTGGTTGAATCCCAGGCATGCTGTGCAGGCCCCGCCTCCATGGCAGGCTGAGAGGGTGATTGAGACTGGGTGTGGAGGCACGCCTGTAATCCCTGCGCTTGGGAGGCTGTAAACAGGAGGATCACTAGGGTCTGATCTGTGTAGTGAGACCCTGTCCTAAGTACATTAAAAAGAAAAGAAAGAAAGAAAAAGAAAAAAAGAAGCAGATAACTCGGAAGACTAAAATGCCTGCTTAGGCAAGCTCAGGGACCTTGGTTTGATTCCCCCCTACCCCATCACATGCCCCACCAGCCCTGCCTCCAGAGCAGGTGGAGCCGGCCACAGACTCTGGGAGTGGTGGCGCAGGCTGTAATGACAACCAAATAAATTAAAAAAAAAAAAAGGAAGAATTTATTGAGAAAAAGATAGTGTCTGTCTAAGACATGATGGTGCATGCCTGTGATCCCAGCAGTCAATAGGTTGAGGCAGGAGGACTGTCATGAGTTCAAGGCCAACCTGAGCCACATAGTGAGATCTTTTCTCACAAAATTCAAAAATAAAAAAGTAAGATAGAAGGGGGCCTGAAAGTGGATAAGTGGATTGCCCAATGACCCTTCTTCTTCTTCTTCTTCTTCTTCTTCTTCTTCTTCTTCTTCTTCTTCTTCTTCTTCTTCTTCTTCTTCTTCTTCTTCTTCTTCTTCTTCTTCT